CTTTTTCAAAGATTAAGTTGCTCATTTTCAAACTTGTGATGGTTTCTCACCAAAGTGCCTTCAATGTTCTCATCCAACTCTATTCTAGTTTGAGCGTAGGATGAAGTGAGGTAGAATTGACGTCGCATTGATAATCACACCTTACCAAGCATGCTTCGCAATGCTCTCACCACCTAATTGAATGAAATTGAACTCACTGAGTGCCCCTACATCAACGCCTTTTTCATGATGATACCAGTCGAATTCGAAAAATACTGAGAGAAACAGAAAGATCACTAATGACATCCCAACACCAGCCGATATCTAAACATTTAGGGTGAGAAACAAAGCTTCAAAATATTTTCATCTTATAAAACATGAGCTAACCACTGCTGCTCGTTGGGCATGGGTACCAAAGGCCAAGAACTCTGGGCTGTCTTCACGAAACGGAGCCACATGAATGACGGTAGGAGGCGGGCGATCGTCTAGTTCATCACCTGAGGAAACGATTAACATACTGATCCAGAATCATAGTGATGTTTAGCCATACTTGTTCATACATTCTGCTCATGATCTTCTCCCGATTCACATACACATAAGTTCTCACGATGTGGCGGTAGCCCTCACAAGGGAGATTGTTCAGGGTGTTTCGGAACAGTTTTTGTTTTTGAATGCTGTAGAGGGTCTAATGTAAACTACAGTGTGCTTCGCTTTTGCTAGGCGGCCTTCTAAAGGTCAAAAAAATCGCAAAAAGTGTAAGGAATGGGTAGTTTTTGCAGTCTTGGTGTGAAGTGTCGGACTTCTAGAGAAGACTACCTACATATTGAGAGATACTTGTGAAGATGATGTCAAGAATAATGTGATATTTGCTCAATAATGACAGTCATATGTGCTGAAGAAAGGGTAGAAGTTTCATAAGCGTCGTCGGCATCGCAACGTTGCAGCGGTGAGGTGGTCAGGTGGATAGCGTGTTGCGCTCGCAGTGGCACTGCAGGGGAGACTTTGTGGTTCGGCTCCACTCGTGGCAGATTATTCCGTTTTGACTTGTCACCTCTAAAGCGGCACAAATGGTTTCAGTGCCGAAACGATGCTATATTCATTTACCAGGACCATGAGTAACCCCTGCAAATGGGTTTTCTATTGTGACTGGCGGAACAGAGCCGCAACGCCAAATCGCAGAAGCCAGGAAACTCATTTTCAGTTCGCCGGGGTGTAATCCTACAGGCTATTGACTTACCAACGGCCAACTTTTTCGGAATTAGGTCGAAATGACAATTTTCTCTAAAACTTCTGTGTAATGATCACAGAAATTACATCCTTTTTCGACAGCTCTTATTTGATTCCACGTCGGCGCTATTTGACGCCTCTGGCGCTACAGCTTCTTTCCACAGATTCCGTTGAAAATCTAAGTTTAATGGTTACCAATAATGAATAGATACCTACTAGCACCTCTGGCGCTATTTAGAGCGAAGTTGGAGGCTTAACCTCAAATGGAAATTTTTTGCCATGACGGGGGTGAGGCTTGGATCATTTTTTCACCACTTTTTGGCCTTCACGAGACCGCTCAGCAAGAATGGACCTCGGTTTGTAGTCCACGTGTGAGTTTCTATAATATGTAGGTAAACCGTTGTGAAAAAGCTCTCTACTCCAGAACGATCTCTTGTCAGTGAGAGTACCTCACGCCAAGCATCGAACAGAAAATGGGGAGGGAGCGGTAAGCGACATCCAGAGAAAGGGGTTTAAAATATCCATGATGGGGCAGAGATTTCTTCGCTAGTCTACACGGCCTACTGTAGATAACTTTGCCGTAAAAAATCAACTAGGTGCTGATGGTTCAAGCATCGCGACTAAGAGTCGGGACCACACAAAGCGACACCATCTGAGTAAAAGCGTTAGGTATGTGTAAAACACAACTC